CCCACCCCCCACCCTCCCAACTCTCCCTCCCCTGCCTGCCAAATCTGTGTGGTGCCACTTTGCCCAGCTGATGGGACTCTCTCCTGGTGCGGCTTTCGCTTAGTGCATGGCCCTTTTCCCTTCTCCTTGCTTTCCTGGCTGGCCCTGCATGCTTTGTTGAGTTGCAGATGCCCCTCTCTGCTTCCAGTTTCCAGTGCATTTAGTTCTGATCTGTCCTTAGGAAATACAGCGGTGAGTTTTTACCTGGTAGTGTCTGGGTCTTTGGCTGGCCTGGTGTGGCTGCATGTTCTCTTCTGCCTTTAGTGCGCGGGCTTGTTGGTTCTGATGCTTGGGGCTGGACTCTTGGTCTAGGGTACTCCAAGTCCCAAGGCAGTCCAGCTGCTAGCATCTGTGCCACCCTGGAAAGAACCAGGCAGTCATGCTTTGTCCTCTTCTACCATCTTCCATCCAAACACCTCTCGGCACTCAGCAAACACAGTGTCAACTTCTCGATGCTCACAGGGTTGTCGTCCCCCTTTCAGAGGGAGAAACTGATGCACAAAGCAAGGGTGCATTTCCCAAAGCTCCAGCCTTTTGGAACGCAAGACTCTGCCGTGGTGGGAAGGGTAATTCTTGGAGGTTTCAAGGACAAGTGCAGCCTCCCATGTCATTTGTAGAAGCCTCAGTGGTTGCTCTAAATGACAGCATCGCCCAAAGAGGCTGCTTGTGAGCTGTGCCCACCCAGAACCTCCCCCACTGCAGTGTGTGCTGTGGCTGTGACACCAAGGGTGAGGGTTTGTACTGGCAGTGGCCTAGTTGTGCAACTCAGCTCCGAGGCCCATGCACATCATTAGAGCAGTGGAAGGGACCCAGCCCGGTGGGAGAGTCTCCTCCACTGACTCTTGGGTGTTGATGAGAGCCCCTGTGAGTCTGACACAAATGCCCTCCTTCTCCACCACACTGTGAGGCAGGGGCAGTGCTATGAGGTACTGGAGCTGTCCAGCCTCTAGATGTGATGGTGCTAATGGGCTTTTCCAGTGGGGAGCTCTGCTGTGCTCCCACCTTGCCCACAAGGCTGTGGGTCCCCACTCTTGGGCTCTGAAACCTCCCTTTGAATGACCCTGATAACCTGACTAGCTGTTCCTGGGACCTGGCACTGCCCCAGTTAGCTGAGTTCCTGGCACATCCTTTGGGACCTGCCTGGGTGAAACTGAGCTGGGATGAACTGTCTGAGACCCTGAGTGCTCTGCCCACCGCTGCCCTCCGCTGAAGGCTGAGGTGCTTGTCCTCTCAGAAGAGCAGCCCTTTGTCACGCTGGGAGGAGCACCAGGATTGTAGGCATGTCCCATCCAGAAGAGCCCCTGAGCTGTGCATGGTGGGCTCTGCAAGCCACTTGTCTCCTTCCAGGGAAGGTCTGTAGCATGTGTTCTGCTTGCCTGCTGCACTAGGTTTGGGAGGGCAGTCAGGTCACACCACCTCATGGATGGGGGCTATCTGTGCTTGTCACCCTGACGCCCCTTGTACAGGTGTAGTGGGAGGGGGAAGCCTTCCACCGGGTGCGAGATGGGCTGTGCCTGAACAGGATGGTCCAGAGGCCTGGGAGGGGGATTCTGAAAGGGGCTCAGACAGCTTGGGCTCCTGAGGGTCTCAGCCACCCCTGATCCCACCTGGTGACCCTGTCTGTCACCCTGGGCAGGCAGAGTTGCCCGTGTCCCTGGAGGACAGAAGCTCACTAAAGGATGCCACATCCCCACACTGGCCACAAGGGGGTGCCCTTGCTCCAAGTGCCCACAACTGGATGGGGACAGCCAGGTAGTGGGGCAGTGGCTCGAGCCCAGGGGCTGCCTGTCCTTCATGGAAGGGAGTGGTGCTAAGGGCAGAGCCTGCAGAAGCCTCAGCTTTGGTTTGGGCCCTTGCCTACCTGGGGCAGAGGGGATCCTATTGAGTGGATAACTTTCACAAGGCTTTGCACACCCACAGAAATCTTCCTGCAGCACAGGCCCAGCCAAAGGCAGGGTCTTCATCAGCCTCCAAGCTCCCAGCGCCGGGGGCCTCAGGGACACAGCACAGTCTACCCACAGGCTGATACTCTGTGCGCCTATCTGCTCAGGGAGGCTTGCAGCCCCTCTATCACCAGGAAACTCTGCTGCAAGCCCAGACCCTGAGTAAAGCCTGTGGTTTGATGCCTTCTCATACAAGAGGCAACTTGCTCCCAGGGGAGTGTAGGTGGGAACCCCCATTGCTGATGTGTTTTCTCTCTCTTTCTTGGAAGGGGCATCATTAATCCAGTGGGTGGTGCCAAGAGTGCCCGGACAGCCCCACTGCAGTGCGTCTCCATGGCAGAGGGACACACCAAGCCTGTTCTCTGCCTGGATGCCACTGATGAGCTGCTCTTCACTGGATCCAAAGGTGCGTGCCCTGGTGAGGGTGGGTGGGGGGTGCTGAGCTGTAGAGATGCCTGTGCTGGCTGGAGAATGACTGAGTCCCCACACCCTTATGACCACCTGGGGAGGATTGGCATCCTGCTTTAAGGCCCCAAGTCCCTGCCAGCTGAGCTCAAGGCTACAAAACCCCAAATTCATAAGGAGACAGTTTTCAGTCAGCCCAGGAGAGGGCAATGGTGCTGCATCAGCCATTGGGTAACCAGTGTCACTGTTCTTGAAAAGCTGCTTGGAGGTGGCTGTAAAATGAGTTGCTGGGCTGCAGCCCAGTCCCTGGTATTGAGATGCCCACGTTGCAGGGGGCATGAACTGTCCTTCCTCCAGTTAACTGGGACAGAGAGTCTGGGGCTAGATGGTCCTTGCCCCTAAAGCTGTCCTTGAGAGGTGGAGGGGCAGGCTTCCGGGCGGAAGGAATTTGCTGGATCAGGGGTTCCTTTACTGAAAGATGGCTCAGGACCTTTTCTCTTGAGGGGGGTCTCCTAGGTAGCTGTACCTGGCAGTTTTCTCCAGAGTCCATGTCTCCTCCCTCAGACCGGAGCTGCAAAATGTGGAACCTGGTGACAGGCCAGGAAATCGCCTCCCTGAAGGGCCACCCCAACAACGTGGTGTCCATCAAGTACTGCAGCCACACGGGGCTGGTGTTCACAGTGTCCACCTCTTACATCAAGGTGTGGGACATCCGGGACTCTGCCAAGTGCATCCGCACCCTCACGTACGTATCTGGCATCCAGGTCCCTGCTGTGCTTGATGCTTTTCCCTGGTAGCTTTCTTAGCTATGGCACAGGTCAGGTTGCCAACCCCTGGGGGCTTGCAGGGCTGAGTCTGGGAACATGGGGACAGTTTGCCATGGGTCAGCTCCCAGAGCCTCAGCTCGCAACATTTGCTGTTCTAGTCTCGGGTGCGCTGTGCAGTTCGTCCGTATGGCTTCAACCAGGTGTTGACCCAGTAGTTCTTCTGCAGGCTTCATCCTGGCTTCCTCCTGGCAGTTCTGTCCCATTCCCAGCCAGACATCAACTTCCCAGCCCTCCCATCACCCCCTTATCCTCTTCATGCCCCCACCTAGGCCAGTGTGAAATTCCTTGGGCTGGGAATCATTTCCAACACAGGAGCAGGAGGAGCATCACTTCATCCCCTTGGTGGCAGGTGTTTTCCCTTGCTGTGACAATGCTGCAGGTCTTTTGAGGGCAGTGTGGAGCTGAAGACTGGCTTCCTCATTACCTCAGTGAGGAGGCCAATGTCCAGGGAGGGGGGCAGGCCCTGGTGGCACCACTCTGTAAGATGCTATCGGAAAGTGATGGCCAAGCTGGGACCAGGGGCTGCTTTCAGCTGTCTCCTAGGGGCACAGTGGAGCTGATTTCCAATCCAGGGCAGAGTACATCCCTTCCCAGCCCTGCCCCATGAAAGCCCCTGCTCTTGTGCTCACATGTCTATTCCTCTGCACCATAGATCTTCGGGCCAGGTGATCTCTGGAGATGCCTGCGCCGGTACCACCACTCGTACCATCACCAGCGTACAGGGGGAACACCAAATCAACCAGATCGCGCTCAACCCCACCGGCACCATGCTCTATGCAGCCACCGGCAACTCTGTCCGCATTTGGGAGCTGAGCAGGTCAGGCCTGGGCTGGAGTTTGGATGCATACAAGGGGTGTAACACCCCTGGGGGACTTGAATGCTGGGGTCATGTGTATAGAGGGGCCCTAGAGCCAAGAGGAAGGAGAGAGCTGGAGCGTGCGCTCATGCTGCAGGCAGGCCCTAGCCTAAGGGAGCTAGCAGCTGTGACTGGCACCAAGGGAGCTGCTGCAGTAGCCCAAGCAAGCACTTGGAGTAGCTTTATCCTGCGCATGTTGGGGATTTGTGACTGGCCCCAGGGAGGATTGGCTTAGATCTCCAGTCAGTGCCACGGAAAAAGCGCAGGTGTACATTGCTCTGCATCGTCCTGTGCCTTATAATTGGCACCCTTCAATGGAAGGCAGCTCACTGAGCCCCTCCGAGTCTTGCTTGAGCCCAGCTCCTGCTGCTACAGGCTCTGGCCAGGCCGAGGCTTTCTGCTTCTCTCAAGGGACTTGCTAGACTGAGGGAGTCCTCCTGCTCAGGACCCTGGCTTCTGAGATGGCAGTCTCCTGTGGCTATGTCAGGGAGAAAAGGAGGCCTAGGGACCCGCTGAGACTTCACAAGCAAGTACCATCCACGATGAGCCATGTGCTGTTGTTTGTAGATTGCAGCCTATCGGGAAGCTGACCGGGCACATTGGGCCCGTGATGTGTCTCACGGTGAATCAGACTGCAAGCAACCATGACTTGGTCGTCACTGGATCCAAAGATCACTATGTCAAGGTACCCTCATGCCCTCTTATCCTTCAGCAGCTGTAGGTGCCTTTGTGCCTGGGCTGTGCTACTCATGGGAGTGTTCCCTTTTTTGTGTCTGGAAGTGCCAGGCTCGTGGCATCCTAGAACAGTAGGGCTGGAAAAACCCTCGGGAAATCGTCTAGTTCACACCCTGCTCCAGGCAGGATTATCACTGACTAACCCCTCCTGTAGAAGGTCAGCTGCCTCCTGAATCAGGGGCTTGTTGCACTTCATGACCTGACTTGGTAGAGGTGTTGGTGACTCAGGTCTGAGTTCTTCTGGAAATCCCAGCCAGGGCCTGGGAAAAATGCCCCAATCCCCTTGGGAGGTGTGGGCTGCATCATCCAGAATCTGACAGTGCCCTGTCCCTCCCCACAGAGAGCTGTCCTTGCTTGCAGAGTCTTGCTCTGCAGAGGGAGCCTGCTCTAGCAGGGCCTGTGCAATTGTTCTGAAGCCTTGGATCAAGCGTAGTGCCTGTTCTGAACCTGGCAGGGGAAATACCATATATCTGTGTCCATGAAGGCAGTTTTCCTAAAGTGCACCTTGGAAGATCATCTCTTCTGGCATGATTCAGTACCCACCAAGGTGTAGCAACTTTAAGCCCACTTTATGGAAATAGGAATCACCTCCCTTGCTTGCTTCAAGGGCCTTATGGCTAAAGGCAAGTAAAACTCGGGGGCATCTGAACCCCAAGCCTGCATGTAGGATGCCTGCCAAAGGATTTGGAAACATCTGAAGCCCCAGGTATGGGTGGAGGATGTTTGCTGGTAGTAGGGCCACTTATGGCTCTGGACTGCCTCGTGGATTTGGAATTTGATTTGGCTATTTTGGCTTGGAACGCGCATAAATTTAACAATGAAAAAATTGTTCTGAAGAACTTCTGGGATCCCAAAAGCCCAAAGCCTGAAGATCTGCAGTCTCTCACACTCATATAATGAGGCTGGTGCTGGATGGCCTGGTGGACATCCGGCCTGGTGGACATCCAGCCTGGGACTGTCAGTGCCTGGCCCAGACAAGGCAGCATAGTCTCCCTGTTCGTGCACCTTGCTGATCTGCCGCAAATTGGAAAAGTAAAATAAGCCTCTTGCTGCTCAGACAGCTCTTGGCCTCTCTGCCTCAGATGCCAGCAAGGAGGCAACTTCATTTTTTGGAACCTGGACACCTGCTGACTAGGAGCAGAGACCCCACAGGGACCCCACCCAGCTAGGGGATGTTGGGGCTTTCAGTTGCAGCTGAGCACACTAGGCTCCAAAGCAGTCCCTGGGTGACAAGCCCACTCCCTCCTATCCTCTTTTCACCCATGGCCCTCTCCCTACAGATCCAGAGGTCCCTGACTGGCCATCCATCTGTGGGGCTCTTGGTGTCAGTCTCCCAGCTTGACCTCCCTGGTGGCTGAAAGTATGAGAGAGGCTGAGCTCTTTCCGCAGGACTGAGCCAGGCTCTCACAGCTATCTGTGCCCTGCAGGTGTTTGAGATTGCAGAAGGCATGGTGGGTAACATCGGCCCCACTCATAACTTTGAGCCCCCCCACTACGACGGCATTGAATGTCTGGCCATCCAGGGAGACGTCCTCTTCAGCGGCTCCAGAGACAACGGGATAAAGAAATGGGACCTGGAGCAGCAGGAGCTCACCCAGGTATGGAGGGGAGTGAGCAGGGCCCTGATGACAAGTGCCTTGCAGGAGAGACATGGGCTTAAACCAGAAGCTTGCAAAGCACTGTCTTGAAGCATGGGGTGGGGCTTTGGGTGAGGTGGATGTAGATGGCATCTCCACCCCTTCCTCCTATCTGCTAGTGGTAGGGAGCAGGGGGAGGAAGAAGGTGGAAGCAGATGAGTCCCGGGGGAGTGTTGCCAAGGCTCAGATGCAAGGTAAGGCTGCACCACAGGAGCTACCCAAGGGATCCTGCAGGCTATTCATGCTTGGGCCCATGTGCACTGACCTGTGCTGTGTGCCTTACTGGCGGGTGATTTGTCCATCTATTCTCAGGTTCCAGCTGCTCTGGGCATTTAGAAATTTGCTTTTGAGGTGGAGAATTCCTGCCCATGTCTGTGTTGGATCTCAGGGTCCCATGTACTGCAGACCTATGTCTTGTTGGGCACCTAGTTGGGACCTCCAGAGTTTATGCTGTAGCTCATCCCAGAGAGGCAGCATGACCTGCTGGCTGGAGTGGGGCAGTAGTAGTCAGGAGGCTTGGGACCTGTATTTCCATTCTGTCCCACTGACTCTCCTTTTTTGGGGGTGCCTCAGTGTCTGGGGATCTCACTCTATCAGATACCCTGGGGGCAGATATTGAGAGGTTCAGAGCACCTGAGTGGCTGATAGGTGTCAGTGGGACCTCAGTACTCAGCACCTCTGAAAATCAGATGGGACGTGTGTTGCCAAAATGGAGATACTGAACTCAGTAGCTGCTTGTTGCTGTGACTTGGGTGGGTCCCACTGCCCTCCCACGCAACATCTCATTGAGTTCTGAGGAGGGTTGAATGGATTATGTCTGCAAAGAGCCTGCAGATCATAGAAAAGTATTGCTGGAAGGGACCTCTGTGATGGCAAACCCTAACACATTCAGCTGTGTTGCTGGGAGCGTTATTCTTCTCCACGTGCTGAGCTGCTCTCACATAGTCCTATTGAGGGGTATCCTGAGCCCAGAGTCTTGGATTCAGTCAGCCTTCTGCCTCTTGGTTCAAAGCTGGGCCCAGCATAAGAACTCCAGACTCAGAGTTCAACCCTCTCTAGAATTTGGGGTATTTGGGTCAGTCCACTGTGCAGATGTGAGCCAGCTGCAAAATCTGGATCATAGGTTAGATGACAGAAGGACAAGGCAGGCCGTGTGCAGTGGGTGCACTGAGTAGATCCATCCTCTCTTTGTCCCTGTGAAATCCCAACAGCAAATCCCGAATGCACACAAGGACTGGGTTTGTGCCCTGGCTTTCGTCCCTGGCCGCCCCATGCTGCTGAGTGCCTGCCGCGGAGGCCTGGTGAAGGTCTGGAACGTGGATAACTTCACACCTGTTGGGGAGATCAAGGGGCACGACAGCCCCATCAATGCCATCTGCACCAACTCGAAGCACATATTTACTGCCTCCAGGTGAGTGCTGGGATGCCTGGGGTTTCTGTTCCCAATCCCTGTCCCCTCAGGAAGAGTCCTCAGCTCCAGGTGGTGTTGGGGAGGGAGGTTTGACCCCAAGCATTGCCCCAGAATTGTTCTACATCCAGTACGACCCTCCACATTCCCGGGCTTGGGTGTGTAGTAGGAGCAAGAGACTGGAGCAGTCCTAGAGCAGGGTTCCTGGCGATCTGGGTTTTTGGGCAGTAATTGGTGGGTCAGGCTGGCTGCAGCCATCTGGTTTCCTTGCTCCTCCATCTCCTCTCAGACAGCGTCCACCCTTCCCATGACGAGGTCTCCCTTCCCCTCACTCTAAGCCCTCAGTGCTGAACTGCGCTGCCCATGGCCTGCTGATGCCACTGGCTGTTTGTTGCTGACGTGCCAGGAAGAGTCGGGCCTGATGCTGCTGCCCTGCCCCTTTCCTGCAGCAAACTGTCTTCCCCATGGCTGGGAACTGGCTGCCACTCAGGGCCTTGCTGCATCCCCCCATGGTCTCTGCCTGGCCCTCTCCTGCCATGACCCAGTCTCCATGTGCAGCCCTGCCCTTATGAGAGATCTCCTGGCAGTCCTGCCCTGTCTTGCCCCCAGTTTTGCCAGCACCAAAACTCTGATCTCCTCTTTCCGACCATGTCCCTTTTCTCCTTCCCTTTCTCTCTCTGTCTCTCCCTGCCGCTCTCTGTGCCGCAGTGACTGCCGGGTAAAGTTATGGAATTACGTGCCTGGGCTCACCCCCTGCCTGCCACGACGCGTCCTTGCCATCAAGGGCCGTGCCACTAGCCTGCCTTGACCCACCTGCTCTCTGGCTCTTTCCTACTCTTTGCTTGTTTGCTTTCTCTCTCTCTCTGTCGCTCGCGTCTTCTCTCTTTCCTTTCCTCTCTTGCACTCTCTCCCCGCTCTGGTTTCAGCTGCTTCTTGACGGTACGAGATTGCTTGTTTGGTTTTTGGTGTCCCCAATTTTATCCTGTTTTTTTACAAGAAGAGAATCTCCCCTTTGGCCCATCCCAGCCTCCCTCCCCTGGGTTTTACTCTCTGTTCTGCCCCTGGTGCCCACCCTTCAGAGCCAGGCTGCCTGCCTGCCCCACAGTATTGAAGGGTTGCACGCAGGCAGCCATATATGGAAGGGTCCCCCCTCCAGAGACCAAGCCTGGAGGCTCCCTGCAGGGTCACAACTCCAGGTCACTTGCAGCTCAGTCAAGGGGCAGTAGAGCCCAGCAGCTGGCTCCAGTCTGCTATGGGCTTGGCCAGCCAGTCTATGCCTCCTCATAGGTCATTGCTAGTCCGTCAGCTCTCCATGTCCCGCAGTGCATGGCTGTTGCCAATGAGATGCAACAGGCTGGGCCCCGAGCTCCTGCCAAGTCCTCCAGTGGAGGGTCTCTGAGAGTCATCCTCTCTTATAGTCAGTGAAGGCCATGCCTGATGCCCATGACCTCCCCAACCCGATGCTTTCCTTCCCACCTGCCAGGGAATGGCAGCCCAGAAGTCTTCTGGGGGCAGCACTGCTTGAGGGTGGGCTGGGGGTTGGGAATGGGCTGTGGCCTGCTGCTCTATTGCAGTTGAATGCTGTGTTGGCACTGGTGGGGTGGCTGCCGGTGACCCCACTGGGCAGTCCCCATTTCATGCCCTCTCTCTTACCTTTGTTCCTCAGTGACTTGACAGTGAAGCTCTGGAGCAGGAGAAGGTCATTGAACAGCACAATCTAGGAGCTGCCAAGAGACGAGTCCCGGGGACTCCTGTATCCTGAGAGGGGAAAGGTCTCAGCCTTTTCCCTGGCCATCAGGCCACTTTGTTTGCAAGGTGTGGGAGTGGTCTAGGCCCCAGTTGGTAGTTCTGACCTCTTGCAGTTTCTGGGACGGAAGACATCCTGTCTGGTACTTCATGCCCTACCAGCTCCTGTGATTGGGGAGCTCTGTGTGGGGTGGTCTGTCCCTTCCTGCCTCCATGCTGGACTTTCTCAATGCATAGGGATTCCCAGTGACCAGAGCTAGAGCCAGAAATTGCTTCATAACCAGCAAAGCCAAGGATCCTGATGGTATCACTTCTGTCTGCTCCCTTCTGCCCACAGCTCATTCAGCACCAGAATAAGCCCCCACATCGCTGCCTGCAGTAGTGAGATTTTTCCTACATGTGCGATGAGATCATTTTACCAGCATCCTCCTTGCTGTCCCCTGCACCTTTTGGGGGCCTGGGCTCATTCATAGCTTTGGGGCTAGTTTCCCTTGGAGCTATTGAAAAAAATCTCCCTGCACACCTAATTGTCCAGCAGAGCTGGGTTCTGCTGGCTGGTACCAAAACATGGAGAGGACTTTTACAATGCCCAGAGATGTCTTGGACTGCCTCATTGCCATGTTTGGGAGCATCCCCAGTATAGAAGTGCTACTGTGGATGGAGCTACCTCTAGGGACCACCTCCAAGCCATGATGCTGTGCCAGGGCTCTGCAGATCTTTGGACAGCAGAACCTTTCTGTGTCTCTGAATGAAATCCATGGGCCCCGGGTGTTCAGAGACGTCTGAACCTGACAACTAGACCCAAACTCCTAGCTCGTTCTGGGCACTGCCTTTCCCTTGTGCTGCATGTATAAACGGAAAGCAGGTGGCAGGCCTGAAAAATGCCTTTCTGACACCTCTCCTCTTGCACAAGGAAAAGTGCAACTAGAAGCTGTATTCACTGGTGGTCTCCTCATGCCCAGCGGAGCCTTAATTGTATAGCTAGCCAGTTTGATAGATCTTGTGCTCCTCGCTGTCTGGTTGGACATGCAGCTTGGCCACCTCTTTTCTGCACCCATGTAGCAGATGCAACCAAGGTCTATTCTAGCTGCTGCTGGAAAGGGTATTTCTACTGTTTTTATATTGGATTTCATAAGCATTTTTAACCACCCTCAGTGTTGGGGATCCTTGGTAGCTTGGACAAGTGTTAGTGTTGGTGAAAGGATGAAGAGCCACGTGGTAAAGTTATTTAGGTACCTGATTTCTCTCAGCTCTTTGCATTCTCTCACTGGAGGTTTTTAGATTTGTTTGGATTCCCTCTCTCCCAGGACATAAGTCTCAGTTCAAGAGGTCTGGGACTAGAGCAGGGCCTGAAGGATAGGGAGGAAGAAATGTTATGGTCAGGAGAGAGGTGTTTTTGCAGAGCTGGTAGGTGGGGAGTGCTCTGGACTGCAAACTGTGCAAGGCTGGTATGCTGCTGGAGAAGGGTAAGGCCTGAACAAATGGAGGGGTCTATCCAGGACACTGGGATTACCATCCAGCTGGGGTGGGGCAGGAGTTGCATAGCACTTGCATGTTGTTTACCCGTGCTGTTGTTTTAGCACCAGCCGTCAAGTTTGCCCCGGACTTGAGCTCCATATGGGACAAATTCCATTAGGCCCCCTCACCCCCTTTTTGTCCCTTCCACCATGTTTGGACTCGCGTTCATCCCAGGCATTTGCAGCTTGTTGTCAGCAGCCATCACAGGCATGTAGTGTCCCTTAGACTTATGCTCCCACAAGGAGGCAGAATCCCCTTCACCGGTATCTTCTGCTACTTTTGTCTCTCCTCCCCTTCAAACAGCTACCTACTATGAGTCCCAACCCCGTGCCATTGAAACCTGCATTCGCCAAGGACGTCTGCATTCAGCAGCTCAATGTATCATCCCTTTTGCTCTGCCTGAACCCTTCTTGCAATGTAGTCATGAAATGAGCCAAAGGAAGTCTCAGCAGATTGGCTCTTTCTTCCTCTGCTCATCTAGCATAACCCCAGATGTCACATAAGAAGCAGTTTTTGGATGCTCGCTTTAAGGATTTATTCCTGTAGATGTTTTGTGGGTTGTTGAAGCACTGATTCTTCTTCCTGTGATCCCATCAGCTATGGACTGCATGTTCTCCATTGGTAGGGGTGCCAGGACCTTCATACTTTTCTCTAAATTTGTAGGATATTTTTCTCATGGCTTCCCTCTATGTGGGAATTTGAAGGAGAGCACCTGCACGCCTCATGCTGCAGATTTGACCTACCTTAAAACCCTTATGAACAGGACAGGGAAATCTTCCTGAACTCTAAGCACTGGGGGGGCTCCTAAAATATTTGTTTTGTCTTTAAAATATTCAACTGCTGCATCTTCACAGAAGGAAAACGATGACTTTGTATTGTTGAGCTCTACAAAAACATTGCTTCTTCCTTCCTTTGCTGGACAAATTAAGAAGTATCCTCAACCTCTGCATATCAGCAGGACCAAGGCTGCCTCTGCACTTTGACACATTGTTCATACCCATTCAGTCTCTGAGCATCTTGGATGAGAAGCTCCCAGGTCTTGCCAGAATCCTGGTTCTGGTGAGATCTCAATACAAAAAAGTTGGATCAATTTGGATCCATGTCTCCAAAACCACTCTTTGTTCCCACAACTCCTACTGCAAGCTCAAGAAAGTGTCTCCAGTTCTCTGTTGGTGCCCGGGAAGATTTTGGTGTCAGCATGGATTGCAGTTACTCACTTGTGCTCTGTTCCACCCACAAAGCTGGTGGTAATTGGAGAGAAAAACATCTACAGTCTTCAGGTGGAACAGAATTAAACAGGCTGGGAATGGACAGATGGATTCTCTAAATGGTGAGAAGAGTAACAATACATGGGACCTTGTCTGAGAAGAGGATGTGATGGTGGGCCCTGACCTTTGGGCACTTCAGGAACCTCCTGCTCCGTGTATGTAATAGGTGGGTGTTGGGTGGGCAGGGGCCCTGGATGTTGTCTAGTGTCTTGGACCCCATTTTCCCTCTGGTTGACATCCCATCATTTACACCTGCACAAGCTGGATGTCAAACGGAGCTGCTCTGACAGAGGAGCATTTTACGTGCCCTTTGCCTTACCAAATGCAGCCATCTTTAAAAGGGGATCAGATGGGAAGGGCTCCAGGCACAGGCATCTTGGGTCCTGTGGAGTTTTCCTTTAATCCTCCACGTCCTGGACCAGATCCCATTGAAACGTCTCCCATTGACTTCAGTGTGGGCCTGAACCCACTGGAGATCGCAGGAGGAAGGAAGCATCCAGCTGTGTGTTGCAGGGGCAGCCTGCTGGGATTGCCAATTATTTTCCTTGCAGCCTGATCCCCAGCCATGCTGAGCACTCTCCACTCTGTGTTGAGGATGCGTGATGTGCTGCAGGACCAAGTACTCAATGGGTGGATGGGTCTCATTCTCTCTTGGCTTAAGGGCCCCACACATCTCATGGCTTTCATCCAGCAGACCTGGGGGAGCTGGTCACAGTGCATGAATAGGACCAAGTGGCTCAAAAGAGGGACATTTTCCTGCAGGCCAGTGCAGGACCTTGGCTTACGCCCAGGCAGCTGGTGTCCGCCACATGGCTACATTAAACTGTCCACACCATCAGGGTCTGCTCCCATACACTGTGCCAACCCCATTTCCAGCAGTGACTGCCAGCTCCTCCCTCTCTGCTGGAGAAGCAAAAGCAGGAAGTAATTGTGTACTGTAATGCTGTGTGTGCGTGTATGTTTGTGTGTGCGTGCACATACGTGTGAAAGAAATGGTTGTTTTTGTTAACCTACCTCACAGAGCTGTTTTTTGGGTTTTTTGAGTTTTTTTGTAGTTGTTGTTTATGGTTTTGAAACTTGAATTTGTCCTGGGAACGCACAGTCTTGCTGATGCATTTCTGAGCCATTGCTTGTGGCTGGGGGGGAGCTTTAATTCCTTTATGATACTGTACTTCAGCACATTTTGGAGCTGACAAGCCAGCCCTTGTTCTACCCTGCAGGAGGAGCCCCTGTTTAAATGAGCCCTTCACGCAGAATCTTAGCCTTGCAACACGTAGCAGACTAGCAATAGC